AACACAATTTTAACTCAACTCTCTCGCCATTAATATTAATATAATTGAATAATATCAATCAATCATTTATACACATCACATTAACATTAATTTGTTATTCATCTACTCACATAATTTTAATTAACCATCACTTCACATCACATCTCTCCTAATTTTGCATCAAATCAATTTTAATAATTTTATTTTAAATATTATTTTAATATAAACTCAGAATCATACTAACAACTAACCATACTACTTTTTTTTTTTAATTATTTCAGAATTAACCATAGTTAACAAAAAAACTCATTTTAAACGAATATATTTGTATTCAAGCACGCCCTATACATCAGCAAAATAAAATAAAAAATGAAAGTTGATAATTCTTAATATTCAATACTATTGTTATCTTAATCGAATTTTCTTCACTATTTTATTATATATAATCTCCCTATATATTAATTCAGAACATGCTGAACTTAAGTGGTAGGTCGCATGCTTCGAGATCCAATGTGGCAAAATTTCATGCTTCGTTATTAGGCTTGGGTAGATTTTAATTTCTTCCAATTCAAAAATAATTAGGTCTGAATTTTCCATAAATATGTTGATTATTTTTGGTCATGCTGCATGTATTAATTGTATTTTAATATCATTTCTTATTATAACCATTGAATTGTAAATGTATTTCAAAAGTTAATAAGTTTTTGTATTTTTTATCAGTTTTACATATATAATATATCAAATTAATCATCTCTTGATGAGCTTCGATATAACACCCATATTGCATATATAAAAATACAATAAATTATATTTATCTTTATAACAATAATAAAATTATTTTTTAATATTATTTAGAAAAATAAAACTATTTACCAATTAATATATTTATATTTCAATTAATATATAATATAAGTAATATAAATTACTATAATATAACACATGTAAGTCGCACAAATAACAAGTGTTATTCTAAAATATATGATAATATATATTTTTTTGTAAAAAAGTAAATACAAAAGAATTTTTCATTAATTTTAAAAATTAAGAATCATATTTTAATAAACACCCGTGTATTACACACTTCATTATTGTTGTGCACTGGTGAAAATAATAAAAATAAGCTTAAAAATAAGTAGACTTTTGCTCTGCTTTCCTACCACAGTCGTCACATGTTAATATGTCCATCGCTTATGTGGCATGCACACATGAGTGATAGTAATATGTTCAAAAAATACATCACCAATATGTATATATCACATCAACGGTGAATAGATTAACATGTGACCACCGTAGATAGGTGAACATTACTCGACTTTTGCCGTGACCAGGAAAACTTTATTGAAAGTGGGGAAAGTGGGAGCCAGAATAGCAGCTGAAGACGCCTTCTGTAATCTGTAGTGGGTGAGAGACGAAGTCCGAGGTCACCACTCACCATTATACCAAATCCAAATCCACGTTATCTGTGACACTCGCGATTGGTGATTTGAAGTGATAAAGCAGAGCCCATTTTATTCTCAACGATGATGAGTCCAACCAGTTTTCTTGAATTTCGAATTGAAGTTCCTTCAGAATATTCCATCACGTTTCGTGTAAGCTTCACTTTCCCTATTCCTCTCGTTGGGGGCTTCGATTAATTTCTCTCTGGTTCCTTAATTGAAACACGCTTTTCAATACATGGGAAAAAAAGGTTGTCTTTTGGCATTGTTGTATATATATATATATATATATATGTTGTCTTCTCAATGTATTCAAGAATTTTTCGAATGCTTGTTGCTTTGCTGCAAGAGGGCTTTGTGCGCTCGTCCGAATAAATTTAGTCATAATACTATTGAAATTGTGTATGTTGCCCACTTGGGTCCTTTTCTTTTCTGCAATTTTTTTTTTTTTCCCTCTGATATTGTGATCTTGTTTTGTGGAGTGCCCTTTTCATCAACCCATTTGCAGTTGTTCTTCCTATTGCAGGATGGATGCTACTAAAAGATCACCACATAGAAAAATGGAAGAATGTAGAATTTGTCATGACGAAGACGACGAGTCGAATATGGAGGTGCCCTGTTTTTGTCGGGGGAGCTTGAAGGTTAAGTCTTAAATCATTCTTCTGTTTAACTAAAGTACAACGATGACGAAGATGACGATTCGAATATAAGATATCAAATTGTTCGAAGTGCAGTATATAACGCACTTGATAGTTGATAATAAACTACAATATTCGTATTGAGCATCTTTAACTAAAGATTGAAATTTTGGTCCTGTGTGGCGTTATCTTGGAGTGTTATATACATTCGCTGTAATGGATAGCGTGATTATATGTTGTAGTGTAGTGGAAGAATGACCGTGTTAATCACCCCTTTGGTATATATGATTATGATGCCTTTGTTTCTGGTCTTGGTTAATGGTTTAATTTGATTAGTATTGTTAATAAAAGAGGCATACACTCATTGGCATGGATGGCATGGATTGGTAAATTCACTATTTTTGTATCATCATACCTAGAAGAAGAATGATATATATTTAAATAAAAAGAAACGTAAAACATTTCGGTTTTTGCAGTAAAAACATATCTTTTACATAATTTATCAAAATCTATATCAAGCACTTGCTCCCATGTATTCTAATGAATGAATTTTTAGGATGAAATATACTTTTGTGAAAAGAGAGATGAAAATTTATATGCTTGAACAGAAATAACCTCTTCCGTGTGCTATGTTTCGCCTAATTCAGAGCAATATTCGGAACCTGTAAAAGTGAAATGAGCATATATGCTTCCACATAGTTACCTCTGTGTGAATGATGAGTTTGGACAGTTTTGGAAAAAAAGAAAAGTGACACATGTTTTCAAAAGAGATTAAAATTAATAAATATAAAGGTAATATTGGAGAAAGAGGTTATGAGCTTGTTGTTTCGTTTTTTCACAGTATGCTCATCGTAAGTGCGTACAAAGGTGGTGTGATGAGAAGGGTGATACCGTCTGCGAGATTTGTCTACAGGTCTGATGCTTTCTTTAATCCCACAAAGTCGCATTTACCCAGCATAAAGCACATAACTGTTGCTAATGAACTCGTAATTTTGTCGAAAGTTATACTACATTGAAAAGGATCCCATTCTTTAAACTGTCATTGAATATCCCCACAGTATACTCTTAGTGAAACAATTTTGTGTTACTTTCAACTATGTGTGTGACTGTGTGGTTGCAGCTTTTCAAGCCAGATTATACAGCACCACCTCCACTTTTTCGTTACAGTGGGATTCCCATGAACTTCAGGTCTCTTTTCTTATTTTTTTTTTTTCCATTTTCTATAAGCTAAGAGTTTGTTTGGAAGTGTCTGCGGATGGTGATTTATTGTCCTTAATTAATTTCTACCTTCTCGTTTATTAATTTTCCATGTCCAAACTTGATTTACACACGTCAGGGGAAATTGGGAGATATCTAGAAGTGACCTGCGTAATCCTCAGTTTATCTTGGTGGGGTCTAATGATAGAAGTTCAATATATTCGAATTTCGATGACCTCTCGGAACACACTTCAAGAAACTTGATTTGCTGCCGTATAGTTGCCATGATTGTAATCTCTCTCTCTCTCTCTCTCAATAATGTGTACTTGCATTGTACTATATGGGACATAGACACCTTTAGCCGTTGTAAATTTCACTTTCAGTTGTGTTCTTGAACTAATTATTTCTGCAAATTTATCATCATTCAAAGTACACGTAGTTCTACCGGATTAAATTTTTTTTGCTTGTTTGATCGTAGTTTATCGCTTTCCTGATAATGCGCCACACCTTACCGTTGTTCATCTACGGAGCTGGTGAATACTCGATTTCTTTGGTCATGGTGAGCTTTGCCTTTGCCAAGCCATAAAATGCCTATAACTTCAATCTGTTTAAGCAAACATTTCACACTTATTTTTTTCTGTTGTTGCAGTTACTGATGTTACGTACAATCGGGATTCTTTTGCCAATCTATATCATTGTTAAAGCATTGACAGCTATACACAGAAGGCGAAATCGGCAGGTGGATAAAACTTTCTCTAAATTCTTGATTCAATTGTATTTTTTTATCAATACAATTTTGTTTCGTACATTTTTGTGTTAGGATTTCTCGGTTTTACCTCGTGAGGCATTCATTCGAGAGAATGACGTAGCCGGACGAGTGCCAGAAGCACATGTCATTCAGGTTCAATAAATGAGAGATAATTTCTTGTTCTAATAATCGATATATGGTAATCTACAACAATGGCTCCGAAGTCTACTTTCGAAGGATTTTATTGCACGCAAACCAATTTAGACCATCGAAAATGACTTCACTTTGAGTGCTCTAAAGAAAGAAATCGTGAAGAAGAGAACGATGAATTATGTACTTGAATGTGTGAGTTCGATCGATTTTTATCTTACATTGTAAATTCAAAACGGTAATCACGTAGCTAAACAAGGGTTTATGAGATTAGGTATGTGATGATTATTAAATTTGTCTATGGACTATTCATGATATTTGTTAATATAGAATAATCAAATTGCCTTGGTATTTGGTTTATGTAAATTAGTATTTTGTAACCCCCATTTATTTCAGTAAAAGTTTAGCACGTTCATTCTTGCATTTCATTTCGTAGCTCGACTTTGTGTAATTTAAATCTTTTTAATCCAAAATCAAATTAAATAGATGTCATCGTCTATATAGTTTGTCAAATCAAACAAAAGTTAATTAGATGTCCTTGTCTATTTAATTTTTCAAGTTTAGGTAAGTCTTAAGCATGCCTAAGATTGTGTTTGATAAAACTAGTTGCTAAGCTAATGATAGCTGATAGCTTATCAGTAATTTTCGAGTTTATAGTTTATAGTTGAAAAACTAACTTATATGATAAACATGTTTGGTAAAATTAGCTGATAAGTTAGCTGAAATAAAAATTTCAAAAATCTTATTCGAAAAGTTATCCAAAGAAGCTTATCAAATAAGCTCGACCTTTTTAAAAGGCTTGTTCTACCAAACAGAGTTTATTTGAATACAGAGAACTTATAAGCTAATCAAATAAACTATAAGTTAGCTTATTTGTCTACCAAACATAGTCTAAATTTTTTAAATGTTTTTCTTTAGTTCTAAGTTAAGCTTGACCACCCTAAAGCTTTGCCTAAGTGTTTTATTTCTATTCTCGGCCTACTATTTTTTTTTAGCCTAAAGTATTTTAGCCTAAGTGTTCAATTTTCTTACTTGTGCCTATATATATATATATATATATATATATATATATATATATATATATATTTTTTAATTATTTTTTGAATTTGGAGCTCCAAGCAAGCAATAAGACCAGGCCACATTAAGTTTTAAACCGCAGCCTGATTTTTAGGACCTCCAATCACTCCTTAAACCGAGCTCACCTCAGCCCAAACTCCTCAACCATTAAAACTCATCTCATCTCGGCCCAAACTCCTCGGCCATCCTTGCACCTGAAAACCGAGAGCAATACCAAGAAGGCCGAGAAACCACAACAGCAAGCCAAGCCCTTTTTACCTAGACCCAGGAGCAATACCCGAGCACCGTCCTTGTCATTTCTTTAAGTTCCTGAAGGAGGTAATGGCTGAGACATTAACCACCTTTTTATGGCCGAGATGAGATGGTTTTTAAGGCTTAAAATCAGTTCCTGAGATGATTAAAATTGAAGAGAATGAGAGTTCGGTTGTTGTGTTATTTTTGGCCTGTTTTGGCACGTACGTGTTGAGCTTTGTCTTATGTGTTTAGCATGCTGATTATATGTGTTTTACAAAGAGCATGTTATGTCATTAAGGCCTAGGTTGTTGTAGAAGTTTTAAGCAAAAGAAGCATGCTTTTGTGTTGTATTGTGCCTTGCACGTTTTAGATATTCAGAGGCTGTTGGCATGAGTTTTATGCTCCCTAAGTGTGCTTAAATTTCAGAGTACTTGAGCTTTAGTTTCAGCTTATTAAGAGGTTCCAAAGCAGCTATATTTTTCAAGTATGAAAGAAAAGAAGAGCATGTATTTTGTGTTGTTTTTGCCTTGAAAGGTTGCTGGAATGGCTGAGCCTTGTTCTTGTGTTTTGTTTCTGCGTTTATGCTTTATTTTCAGAGCTTAAGTTTCAGTTTTGAGTCCTTAAGTTTGAGAAAAATCGAGAAAAAAAGGAGAAGAGACGAGAGAGGTTTTGTGGTGTTATCTTGTACTTTTTTTTTGGCCTGATGTTGTTGAGCCCTCTTTATGTGATTTGCATGTTGTTATGAGTTAAATTCAGAGGCTAAATTTTGTTTCTCCCATTAAAATTTCACGCGAATATTCCTTCGGGAAGACCTTTGATTTGCCGGTCAATGCTTCTAGATTTAGAGAGAATTTGGTCAACTTCGGTTTCTTCTCCGATTTCCTATCGATTTCCGGCGATCCACTTCAATCCGAGGGCACTGACGGAATCTCCTTGCCGAGGCGCTTCCTCGGCCGGTGATCTTCGCCGGAGTTGGTGACGTCTTTCGGAGACATCTGCCTGACGAGCCGTTGCTGCTATTCTCGCAGCTCAACCATGGTGTGAGTCTGTTCGCAGTGTGCAATCCACCAACCCGAATAGCAAGAAGCCCAAGATTTTGAGTTCAGCGGCCCGAGTCCGGTCCAGGTGCAAGGAAGGCCACCGTCCAGCCGCGGCCCAACCAAATTGTGCATCCCAATGGGGCGAAGCCTAGCAAAAGCAGAGGAGAAGCACGCGGCACTCCAAGCCCACGAAGCTCGAAACACTCACAAGATGGGGCCCGCGCGAGCCCGCGCGCAGCCTCCAGCTAGCCTGCTAGTGTAGCGGCCCAGAGGCCCAGCCGCGGCCCAACAGCCCATGTCGGCCCGAGGCGCCTCCGAATCACCCCCAACTCAGCTCTAGCGCGACCCAGAAGCTGCCAACTTCCTCCAAAGAGGCCCGATGAGCAAAACCAGCCCCAGTCCGAGCCCATGGCGAGTTCGGGATGATATGACACGAACGATGAGTTAAGCGGAGATAGTATTCTCATGACGGAGATATGTGACTAATTTAAATTATAGGCCAGAGGATTTTTAAAATGGTGAAAATTCGATATATTTGATTTATTCGTGGAGATATATTTGATTTGTTCGTGAAGATATTATTTTATCTGTTTGTGGAGATATTATTTGATTTATTCGTGTAGATATTTGATTTGTTCGTGGAGATATTATTTGATTTATTTGTGGAGATATTTGATTTGTTCGTGGATATATTTGATTTATTCGTAGAGATATTATTTGATTTGTTCGTGGAGATACTTGATTTATTCGTGCAGATATTATTTGATTGATTCGTGGAGAGATTATTGGACTTATTCGTGGTGCTAGTTTAATTTATTCGTGGAGATTGTTTGATTTATTTGAATATATTATTTGATTTATTCGAGGAGATTATTTGATTTATTTGAGGAGATTATTTGATTTGTTTGAGAAGATTATTTGATTTATTCATGGAGATATTATTTGATGGAGAATAAATTCGAGCCGTGATTTCGAATTGAGGATATTTTGTGGTTGTGCTTAATAAATGCGGGTCGTGATTGGTTGTGCTTATTTGATTCGATATCTTGATGTATCCGGAACTTCTCATTTGAATTTTCATGCGAAAATGTGGAATCTTATTTGAATTAACTATTTATAATCTTTTAAGCATAGCATTGCTCGAGCATGTCTTAAATCTAGGAGATGGTGATATTTTTCGACCTCCCTTTCCTGTTGTACACGACTACCTGAGTTGTTGTTTGCTCCATGCTTTCCACTTCTCACCATAACCAATATCTAGTCCACATGCTCATGTACTTTCAAGTCCCAAATAATAACTCTCAACATATCCATATACACTATAATCTCAATAACACTTCGCCCAGAATATTCAAACAATAAACATTTCTCCAAAAATAATGCTAAGAGACTCAATGTGTCAAGAAATCGTGTCAGTCGAACTTGACCGCCGACAAGAGTTAGGATTAATTTTATACCTGAAAGTTGAGGATTCAACTCCCAATTATCCTACCTCTCCAAAAGAGAATGATTTCTGCCTTTGAAATTGTCGCCGGCGATCAACACCATCCAGACTCGTCCCTCATTATCACCCTGCTTTGATGGATTTATGCTCGCTCATTTTGTCCTCGAAAATCAACAACTCTTCCGCCATAGCTTGTCAGGACTCGAGTTATTTCGTTATTTCCTCGACAAGAATTCAAAGAGATCATTATCCACATTATATTCACGTCATCCATTTTGCAATTCTCCACTTAAGAAAAACAAGGGATCAAATACAAATATGTTTAATGTTTTTTATGATTATCTCGTTTGATTAAATTATGCATTCAGTGATACTAATGAGAATGATCGATTACTATTATATCCTGTGGTGTTTGGTGTGTTTCTGTTTGACCTCAGTGGCAGGTCGAAGTGTTCGAAGAAAAAATCCACCATGACTAAGGCATTTGGGCCGGGTGGTCACTTGTTTTGAACATCATGTTGGGTGGACAAGTGCCTGAAGAAAAAAAAAATCCACCATGACTTAGGCCTTCGGGCTGGGTGGTCTCTTGTTTTGATCATCCTGTTGGGTGGGCAAGTGCTTGAAGAAAAACATCCACCATGACTAAGGCCTTCGGGCTGGGTGGTCACTTGTTATGAACATCCCTTTCGGGGTGGGCAAGTGGTCGACGAAAAAATGCACCATGTCTGATGCCTTCGGGCTGGATGGTCGATCTTTGTGTTGGGCCTTTGAAGACATGGAGGACGGATAGCTCGAGCAGGTTGATTGTTTTTACTTTATTTGGTGTATGGATTTATTTATTAATCTCAGTGGCAGGTCGAGAAGAT